TTGCCATCTGGGGACATACCGTATTTACCAGAATCCAAGATGACTGAATTTCAGATAGTGCTCCAATAATTAGATTCTAGACATTGAAAAATTATAAATTTGTTATAATTTTCCATGTCTAGAATCTAATTATTGAAGGGTCATCTGAAACTTGCTCCCCACTGCTGCACTCAGGCAAGCAGTGGCAGAGGGGCAGGCAGTGCCACAGCAATGCAGTTTGGTGCTTGGCGCAAGGCCCGCAGAGGCAGCCCGCCCTTGCCCTGCACACAGATCCAGAGGGCACATGCCCTCCCATGCTTGCCTGGGACTGCATACAGCAGAGGGACCCACCCTTTCCCCGTCCCCATGCCCCCCCACATGAGCTGCTTGCAGCTCTGTCCCATGCTCTGTGCCGGTTGGGCAGTGCTTGTTGGTGCTCCTTCACTTCAGCACCCAGGGTGGTTGCCCCAATTGCCCCTTTCTTGCTACGGTACTGGGGACAGGTGGTGGTGGGGCAGGTGGTAGGTGAGTCAAATGGCCTGCCCCCTACCCCTTGCCTCCTGCCTCTCCTGCCACTAGCACCCCTCTTGCCTGCCCCCCATGATCCTGTCCATCACCAAGTACCTTTGCTTTGCAGCTCCAGCTGGGGCCTTATTCTGGCCACCAGTAGGGAACGCAGAGTTAATGCTGCCTCTGTCCCTAGCCTGGCCATGCAGCAGCTGTTGTGATGTTTTAAATTTAAGTAACTAAGGTAGTATTTCCATAAGAAGTAAATCCATACTCTCATTAATGTGTCATAAGCCAAAAAATGGGGAAAAAAATCAATCACTTTTTTACTGCATGTCATGTTGTTCATCCTGGATCATGCTGAACTGTACAATCCATCAAAGATGTCAGGCTATACTTGACAGTGATGCTTGCGAAGACTGCTGTGGGAGTCTATGCTGACTGAATATATAAAATAGACAGATTTTAAACAGTTTAGTCAAATTATTCTTTAGCAAAAAACTGGAGGAGGACTGGACATTTGCTGAATACATAGTTTAGAAAAGGAATACGTGTCAAGGAAAATATCCTTACACTGAAATCTATAAGACCATGAATGGGCTCATAAGGTAAGTAGTAGAATCTCCATTCCAAAATTTTTAAAATTAAAATCAGTAGAAAATGTATTTTAGAGGACATCCCTATCTTGGTAGGGAGTTGAAGTAGGTGATTTTAGGTGTTGTCCTTACTGTTTTTGTTCCATCTCTATTTTCTGTAATTCTGTGACATTATAAATCCTACTTGAAAAACAAATTTGAAACAGACGATAAATTTAAAAAAGAAAAGCGATGAAAGTGAATATTGCAAAAGTAAAAGGAATATAATCGTAATGCAAGAAGGTTAGCTAAATGAAAAGTTAGGTTCTCTGCTCCGAAAAATGGGTGCCTAACTTGAACCTAGTCTGGTGATTAACATTAGCACAGATTAAGCAAATTGACTGTGATGTTTTTCCAGCTACGCATTATCAGAATACGATTGATGTTCATTTCATAGAGCGTGGGGAGTTGTACCTACAGTAATATCTGTCTCTGAAAACAAAATGACTATCCTTTTATTTGCATAAGACGTGATCGTGGGTGAGTATAATGAAACTATGGTGTAGTGATTAACTATTATGAAATATGATTATTTGCTTTATTTATTGAGAAACAGTTCTAAGGAAAAAAGATTGAAGTTATGGAACCAGCTTTGCTTATTCTTAGACTGAAAGTAGTATCAGCTGTTAGAAAGCAGGAAATCAGTTCTGTGTTCTGTTTTCCTTTCTAGCAGAGTAGAAATCTTAACACCCAGTAAGATACAAAAAGGTGTAAAAATTTATATTCTGACATCTTGAGTTCTGTAAAGTCTGTTGCTTATTATGTAACAATTCCTAAAGAAAATTATTAAATGATGAAGATCCTTAATGAAAGTAAGCAAAGATGAAGCTATTATTATGAAAGCACTATGACTTAAAGCTGAAATAAGGTCTATACAATATATTTATATGTTTACATGTTTAGTTCATGATAATCAACCATCGGCATTGTTTTTATACACTGTCTGTGGGTTCTTGTTTGCTTGATTTGAACTAAATATTTCTGTGATGTCCAGAACGTGTCTAATCATCATTTCTATATAAAGTAGCAAGTTAAGTATCTGTTTATTTAAATTTTGATCAGTTTCCCAGATTTAATAATGTATGTGTGTAAAGAAATTCTAAAATAATATTGAAATAACTCCAAAGAAGAGAATAGTTTTAAAACTTTAATGTTACAGCCTTTGGTAAGCTGTTATATGAAGTACCTTCTTTAGCTTTATTAATAGTTTATAAGTAGATGGATAGTATCCACTACATCCTCATAAAGTGTGCGTAATCATATTCCATAGAGGTGGAGAGCCGAGGTAGTAAATTTTGCTGCCAGCTGAGACCATTGTGTATGACTACTATGCAGCATTTATAGCTTTCCCAAAGTTACTATTCTACTTGAGCTGGAATAGCAACCTCGGCTCCTCCTTGCCAGTTGACTGAGGGGTTGGGATTGTTGGGGCCACTCAAAAACCTGCTGCCATTGATTTTATACCTGCACATTTGTTCTGAAGCCACAAGAAGGGAATTGTGCTGCAACTAGCAATATTATTAGCTCCAACAAGGATTTCCACTGAAAATGTCTGGTAGACAGCATGGTGTATGAAGTGGTTACATCCTAGATCGGGGTAGGCAACAGGTGTCAGAGCGTGCATATTGCTTGGCATATGCCCTTCAGGGTGGGGAAGGGGCTGGGGATTGGGCCCATTGCAGCTCCCCTGCCATCCACGCCTGGCACACCAACATCTTACAAGTCAAGGGGTTTTTTAGCACTCTGCCCAAAAACATTGCCACCACCCTGTCCTAGATGCTCCCACAGTCCTGACTCACCTTGCTGCGTGGGATATTTACAAATTTGAGGAAAAGACTATCTCTGGTTCTCTCTTCCATGGGTTTATGACACTTTAACAATGTTCTTCTTGCTGCTGTGGTTTCCTTTACATGGGAAAACAGGGCCCATAGTTTTAATGGAAATATTTTCATATATTTATATTTATATTTATATATATATATATATAAGCATACTGATTAATCAGGGATATAAGGATCAATAGAACAGGATCAATAGAAGGATCTATCTATCTATCTATCTATCTATCTGTCTCAGTTCTATTGACCTTTAGATCGCTGATTAATAATATATAGCCATTCTATTGATCTTTAGATCACTGATTAAAAAGTCTCCTTTTCAGAGCTGCTGAGTACCCACAACTTTCACTAATTTTGGTGGAAGCCGTGGAACTCAGCAGCTCTGAAACAGCAGTCCACCTACAGAGGTACCTATTAATTGGGATGTCTAGAATTTGTATCTGTATGGCTTAAATGGAAAAATTAAATATCATCAGACGAGATCAGCCCTGGTCTGCATGGTTCTGACAGGTTTTTAGGGATGTACCACTTGCTATGTAGATGACCTGTTAAAGTCACTTCTCTTCCATCACATTGGCTTCTTTTCAGAAGAAATAATTTGACAATTGAATATTGAAATATTAAAAAGATGTCAGTTTATAGTGAGTACTAAGAGCTCAGCCTTAAAACAGTGCTTCATTGAAAAAGTACAAGGAGCAACATGATATAATCTTTTCAAATCTGACTTTCCCTGGAACCTGGATTGTTTCTAAAGGTGTCAATGTTGTTTTTTTTCGTCCCTGAGCTGATGTCTGTGTTGTGAGAGATGTCCTTTAAAAAATGCCTTTCCCCAGTTTCCTTAAGAGAAATTTGGGATAACTAAAGGAGGCAGATTAATCAAGATAATGCAATTAAAGTATTTAATGTAGGTTATTTGGTTATTCTGTCCTAAACAGATGCTGCATATTCCACAATGAGGCTCATTTATTTACAAGTCACATTTTCCCATACACTGTGGTTTGGGCAAGCAATTAGTTAAAATAAAAAGTATTGCTGAATGTAAAGAGTCACCACTAAATAAACAGTATGCAGAACATACGTATGCAGAAAGAGACTAGTAGTAGTGCCCCCCATTTTTAAAGTGCCTGATCTACCTTTATGCTGTTGTCAGAAATAGTGTGTTGTTTTGATGACCAGAATTGTATAGCTTTAATTACTGAAAACTTCTCTTTTAACTGAAAAGCACATGAACTAGTTTTGTCTTTTATATAGGATTAAACTGATTTAAGACTCTTTCCCCTAGTAGGAAAAAATAATTTCACACTTGACCAACAATTTTTTACCCTACTTCAATATTTGCATTTATGTTGATTTATATATCCTGAAAGGTGAAGTTTGTAGAAATGCAAACAATCCGTCACAATTTATAATACTGACCATTAATTATAGCCACCAAAAATTACTCAAAACATATTTGGGCCTCATTCTGATACTAATTTATACTCTAGTACAGTAGGACCACATCTACTGAAATCAAGGGAGCTGCACTGGTATAAACCTAATGTATGTGAGATCAGAATATAATCTATTGTCTTTCAGTTTTGTCTTGGACTGAATTATGGCTTGTGCCTAGGCATAAACTGCCTCCACCTTGTGAATGTCTTTTCAATATATAATGTGTGAAATGCTGTCATGACTTTCATCTTCAATGCCCCCCTCCCCAACAAAACAAAACACACAAACAAAAACCAACACAAAACCCAAGCTTTTAATTAGCATTTGGATCTGACAAAGTACCTTTTCTTAACACAAAAGCTGTTGTCCAAAAATGATAATAAAAGTTAAGTTACACTGGAGATAGCTCCACTTCCAAGTATTCACAGAAATGCTGGAGTCTGTGGAATTTAGAGATAACAGGCTGGAACCATTTAAAACAACATTTTTTTATGAGATTCACTGCTGCTGGTTTTGTTTTTTAAAAATATATTCTGCTGTTGCACCTTTTGAGGGCTGCATTGTTACTACAAAGAAAAATTTTATATCCATCTTTTCTTGCTTTCAGGTTTTTGCCAGAATGAGTGAAACACCTTCACCCAGTCATTCAGTGATTCAGCCAAATTCAGCAGAAAGTGAACAGACTTTGTCTACCCGACACCTCAATGTCACTGAGCCTGTTGTGGCCAAACGAATCTGTTTCTATAAAAGTGGAGATCCTCAGTTTAATGGGATCAAAATGGTTGTTAATAATCGAACTTTCAAAACTTTTGATGCCTTGCTGGACAGCTTGTCCAAAAGAGTTCCATTACCTTTTGGGGTGAGAAATATTAGTACACCACAAGGAAGACACAGTATCACCAATTTGGAAGACCTTGAAGATGGAAAGTCTTACATCTGTTCTCATCAGAGGAAAATAAAGCCCATTAACTTGGAGCAGGCAAGGAAGAAGCCATTGCCCTGGCAGATCAGCAGGCCTGTTAGTGCTCGTCGCCGAGTAGTGCAGCTAGCCAGGGAGAATGAAGGTCAGAGAGATGGTGCTGTCAAAATAACAATCCCTAAAAAGCTGCTCGTTTTCAAAAATGGAAATGTGAGAATCAGGCGCACAATAGTTCTGGGTAAGAAGAACACTCAAAACTTTGAGGCATTTTTGGATCATATCAGTGAGTCGATGCAATATCCAGTTGCAAAGCTGTATACCACTGATGGCAGAAAGGTGAGAATAAGAAATGGCATCAGTAATGCTTATCACAATGGCTGCTTCAAGAATATAGCCAGGAAAAATCAAATTATTGGTTTGATGGCCTGACTGGCCATCAGTAGAAGCTCCCTGTGCCTTAACTTTCAGTTATCTGTTACCCCTCTACAGTGAGGGTCCTTCCAAATTCCTCAGGTTCTGAGAAAACAAGACAAATCTTGGAAAGTATAGATTGGAAGCTAGGGAATTTTTAACTGAACATGATGAAAGATCAGTTTTCTCTAAAAATGCTTTCTTCTCTGTCTAATTGAATCAGTGTTCCTGCTTCACAAGTTGGTTTTATTTTTATTTTTTTGGTCCTCCCAGAGGTGTACACTCAAACTTATATGCACATCCAGGAATGTGTAGTAGTCCCAAAACCCTGCATGTCTGTGGGATGTACATTAAGCAGTGGTACTTTTGAATTCTATTTCTATTCCCCCAAGTAGTGAGGATCTGTCAGTGCTGAAGAAGAAACTTCTCTACCAATCTCCCCCATGAAAATGTACTAGCTGGTGTAGGAGCAAAGGACTATGCCCAGATGTCAAAACTGGATCTCATGTGTGGCTCTCCCATTGCTAGGATACAGCTCATGTTTTAATCAAAGTAGATTTTTACCCTGATTTCTATATTACATGTAATACTCAACAGCAAGATGTTGTTTTAGGCAATATCTACCTATATTAGGTCTTTCATTTTTTAACGACTGAACTCTTTCTTTGTTACCATTTGAATGAGACAGAAATGGATGTCTAAATGATTGCAAATTATTGCAGGAGAAAATTAATTCTCAGGATGGATGTCATCTCTGTTCACAGCTTCATACACGCATATACTCTGGCTTCAAGGCAATCGGGTGCATATACACAAGACGCTTATGGTGCAGTTGCCTAATCAGCTCTGCAGTACAGCATCACTGGTCTACACATGCGGAACTATTAATCCAGAATAAATTAATTAACTCTGCTGTAGGTTAGTACTGCCAGATGCAATTACTATCCCATGGTGGAGTTATTTACTCCACTGCAATGCATGTGTAAATGCTGCACCCGGGAGCAATAAATTCCAGCATGAACTACAACGGAGTTTATTGTGTCACATTAATATTTACATGTAGATGCACCCATTCATTCCCTCTACTGGGGTAAAACAAATTCTATATCTAAAATGAACTTTAGATATAGCACTGCTTCTCAGAATCATCCTATTTATACATGCTTTCATAGAACACAGGCCTAGTATTGAAATACTGGAATATAGTGTCATATGCAGCTCTGAGATTTTTAAAAGGGGTGCATGGGAGCAACAAGTGGCACTGCAGGGGTGGCTGCACCTCAGTTCCCAGCCTCCCCACCTCCCATAGGGGGGGCAGACCACACCACAGAAGCAGCAGCCACAGACTTTTCTTAAGTGCCCACAAGAGGTAAGACACTTTCCCAGTTGCATGCTCTGTGGCACCCCACTCTGCTCAGTTCCCATCCCTGCCTAGCCCTCTGGGTACAGGAAGAGAAGGAAGTGGAGTTCCACGTTATGCCACTGTTGCTGTCCAAGGCACTCTGTCTCCACTCCAGTCAGGGCAATGGAGAGCAGCTGCACAAGGAGTCATGTTTGGCTGGGCACAGCAGCGGCAGTGTCTGGGTTCCCTTTCCTTGTGCCTGCTCTCAGACTGGTGGAGCACACCCAGAGGGACTAGGCAGGAAGAGGGAACCTGCCTGCTGCTGCTGTTCCCCAGTGAGCCTGGCTCCCTGCACAGCCGCTTTGGAGCTCCCCCCTGCCCTGGGTCAATAGGACAGTGGCAGTTGTATACAAGGCTGGGGAGTCAGGAGTGGGAGGGAAGGGAAGTGCCACTGGAAAGAAGCAGGTGTGAAGAAGGATGGATTCTGACCTATTTCAGGGATTCAAATTCCTTGGCTGCTGTTTCTACAGTGTAGTCTGAAAAGAGGGTGTGACCATGTTACTGCACCCACTCTGGATCTGCCCCGTATGAAACATAGTACTTATTTAACAGCTGGCTGCAACACTATATAAATATAGTGAAGAAAGGAACGAACAAGATGAAGAGAAGAACCCCTTTGTATTACTACTGCTAGTTACTAATGCAGAGAAATGGATGTTCTTTTTTTCAGATACCTAATCTTCATGCCCTAGTAATGTGCTCTGGCGTTGTTGTGGCAGCAGGGAGAGAGCCTTTTAAACCAAGCACTTATGATCCTCATAGATATTCTCTACCTGCTAGATTGCCTGGGATATCCAATCGTGTGTATCCAAAAGCAAATGTCAAGTCAGAGAGTGGAAATAGTAAGTCCGTTTAATTATTTTACTTTTTCTCAAGTGATTTATCTCTTTCAAGCTTTAATATAAAAATAAAATAATAGAAATATGACTGGGATAAAGGGTTTTCAAAAAGGCTAGTTGAAACAAACTGTTTGTTTTTACTCAGATTTTGTCTTGCAGACATGGGAGGAAAAATTAATTTTCTATTTAGAGTTGAATTTTCTGTTAATAGCTCAGTTAGTAGGCATATTTCCTTTTAAATTGAATTATTTTGAATACACATGCAAAGATCTGAACCATTTTTTATAACATGTGCTCCTTGCCGTTAATGTAGTCACATCACCCTGTCCACGCTGTTTATAACCGTGGCTACAAGAAAACCCACAGCTGCTTTAAAGAATTGCATGGTTCCTTTGTTTGAATTTTCTAACTTGCTGTGCAGTGTTCAGAACTTAGCTTAGTAAATTAAAAGGAGTACTTTGTCATTATCCTTAGTTCCATACGTGCCTATAGCCAACCAGGGCAAATCAGAAAAAGCAAGTCATTTGTTGCTTCACCTATACACCTCTCAACCTCAGTTACCTCCTTCTTACCACTTACTGCTCATATGTATCTTCAGTCTTGTACTGAACAACCAATATGCAGCCTGAATTCTAACTATGCTTATTTCCTATATGTACATGAGTCCTGACTGAATGTAGATTAGGAAAGGCTTTCATAAGTTGCAGTGTATTTAGGTTTACACCTTGGTTTGCATTAGTTTACATAGGTGAGGAACAGACTAACTATTTATTAATACCATGTACCTGTACAGGCGTGTTCCCATACTGGAGTGCTCCTTAGGTGCTCTGTTGGCATGACTTCCCCAAGGGCTGAAAGCCTGGGAAGCAGTGCTGGAGGTGTCAAATATCTCTGCACTAAGTCACTGGCATATGAAAGGCTTTCCATGATTCTGAAGCCTTGTTGTGAAAAGAAACTTTTTAAGTGCTAAGCCTTTACACAAGATACTAGGCTTTACCTGTAGAGACCTCTTCTACATCCTGCTCAGTCGGTCATGTTCCCACCAAACCTATTCATTTTAGCTTTTCTCCACCTGACTTTTTGAGCCTATCCTGATATCCCCTGGCCTGCACAGATTGTTTTCCTACCTCACTAGGACTGTGCAGAAAATAGCTGATGAATCAAGTAAAAATGTTGAAATCAAAATATGATGAATCAATTAAGAATGTAAGAAAGAGCAAGTAAGAATGTTTTGAGGAAATTAAATGACTGGAGGAAAACAAACAAAGGTTGTCAAAATGTTTTTCTTTCCCATCCAAATTGTGCTTATAGTCAGAGATATAGGTTGGCAGCACTAGAAAACATAAGCAAGCTGTAAATATAAATGGGTTGCCATTTTATTAAAATACTTGGTGGATTTTACTAAAAATGGCAGGGGCTTGTAAAGTTCTAGTAATATTCCTTCAACTGAAATAATTAACATAGACTTAGAAAACTCATTAAAACATGAACTTTGAAGGTTAGGTAGAATTACAGCTGTTAAAATTAATACGTTAACTCAAATTAATTTTCTGTTCCAAACCCTAACTATTATAGTACCAACTTAGATGTCTTAGATGAATAGCAGACTCTGATAAATAAATTTATAAGAAATAAGAAACCTAGATTAGAAATCCCATTCTGCAAAGGCAACAGCAAAAGGGAGCAATGATCCTTCCAAGTATTAAATATTACTATTAAAGCAGCTAACTTAGAAATTTAGTGAATTGGATCACACCAATTTACAGTAAGTACTGGGTAAAGATAGATCAACCATATTGTCTAACAGTCAAACTTAATATATTACCATGGCTAAAAAAAAATTTCCAGGCCAAATTCAGTATATAATTACCCCTTTACGAAAACATTAATGAAAACCTGGGATAACACAAATAAGAAATTAGACTCTTACCCATCCCCTTCCGCACCTATATATAATAACACTGAATTTAATCCTTACAATTTATTAGGAAGCAGTAATATCTGGGAACATATTAGTATGATATATTTTGGGCAATTATTTGAAGAAAATATATTTAGATATTTTGAAGAAATATAACACTGGTGACATAAAAATCCCATTTTTCCAGTGCCTGCAATTGAGACACTTCTACAACACATTCCCAAAGAAAGGTAAACCTCAGTAGAAATTTGACATATTTGAGACAATATTGGTTACGCTTATGAAACACACAGACCTATTTTCTGCACTATATAAAGCAATTTTAAATAGCCATATAGAAGAGAAAATGCTGTTTTTGACATAGTGGCCTAAAGGCACTGGATTAGAAATTAGTGCTGAAGAATGGGAGGCCATCTGGAACAATGATCCTCAAACATCCATTTGAACAATAATAAAATAATTAAGAAATCCCGTATTAATGGCATCTTGCTCCACTCAAAATTAAACATAGTTATGGTACAGGAACAGAGAAAAGTTGCAGGGATCACAGTTGGTTAGGAAGATTTTACCACATATGGTGGCTGTATCCCAGAGTTAAACTGTTCTGGAAGGAGGCTGGAAATATGGTAAGGGAAATAACCAGATGGCAACATCAGATAACCCCACAATGTTCCTGTTGAACTTTCACGAGAGGTCTGAAACATGTAAGAGTTGCAAGGAATTGATCACTCATCTAGTGGCTGCAAGGATGGAAGAGGAGTGACACCCCTGGAATCACTGACAGGTTTGAAAAAGTTTGGGAAGCTTTAGTAATGGAAATATTGTCCGATCAAGCTAGTGTCCAATAGGGGAGGAAAAAAAAAAGATGCTCACTTGGAAATGTGGTGGGCATTTTTGGAATTTGTTAAAAAAGAATCTTCTGCCTCCAAACTAGAAAATTTGAGAAAGTTTTTTTGAATATTGAAGGAAAGTGCATGTTCTATGAACTATACAAAAAACTAGAACTTTTGGTTCCAAAATGATACTTTTTATTAGACCAACAGGGAAATGGCAAGAAAAAATGTCCTTTTCTGCAAGCTTTCAGGATCAAAGTCCCTTCGTCAGGCTCTGGGAAAAGTATTTAAGAACAAATTTCTAATACATTTAAGAGCAGAGATGAGTAGAAAATAGTGAAATCTGAATTATGCAGAGTTCTAAGGGAAAAAGAGTGGGTGAATTATTTCAGAGAGATAAAGAAATGGAAAAGCTTAACATCAACTGAAACATAAAGGAACTGTGAGAAACTGAAAGGATGAGAAAACACAGACTCCTGTGGACAATGACTTGGGTTAAGGGAGCACTGGTGAAGGAATATAAGTATCTATCTTTATGTTGTATCTATCTATAAGTATATAAGAATATAAGTATCTATCTATATATTGGGGGGTCACATGCATCTTTAAATGTTAATTCTGTTGTTTGATAAATTGGATTCATTAATAAAGTATGTTCTTTTTCTTAAAAAAAGAAAAAACTTAAGCAGCTGGGAGATCTAAAAAGTTCCAACATTTAAACGTCCTGAAACTCAATTAATTTGTGTGTTTAACATTAAGTGCTGTATCTGAGACCATGATGTAAATTTATAGGAACTTTAATTCTATTGTTTCTTAAAGTCTGTAAAAATGAGATTTTTCTTATGAAAGGTCTGTGGTTCCTGGAATAGGAATTAGTCTGTGCAAGTCAGGAAATCTAAATTTTTGTGTTTGTATATATAGCAGTGACAAGTGTACTCGTGAAAAAAGCCTATACATCTAAAAATTCCCCTGAGAAAAGAATATGCTTAATTTTAGGCCAGGAACAGTCCCATTGAAGTCAAATCAATGTTAAGCCTGTTTTATTGGATTAGAGACATATTTGAAACATTTAAAATAAGTTCCAATGACTGTATAATGCCCCTATTTGAGAGTATATATTTGTTATCAGTGTCTTCATGTATGTCTCAGATTCTGACTATGTGCACTAATGGCTTTACTTGCACATAACACCTCCTAAGAAAAGAAAATCACTTAGAAAATTCTGGTTAAATTTCACTTTGCATTCTTTTGGTCTCCTGCCCATTGTTTTACTTCAATAAAGATAGATGAAATTTTTGTCGGAGCTGAGTTAGTTCAGAGGAATAAAAACACAGTTTAGAAATATTTAAATTTTGTGCAAATACATTAAGAGCCTGATGCAAAGTCTTTTTAAGTCAATGGGAATAATCCTATTGGCTCTTCTGGACTTGGGACCAGGCCTTTGAGTATTATACTATATAGTTTGCTTTGTAATTGCAAATTACAGTCTTCTTAGAAATATTGGATTCAGTATTTTAATGTACAACTTTATGAAGAAGTATAATGTACAGGCCTGACTATACAGTTTTTATTTATATGACTAGTTAATGGCACTACACACATAGGCAAGGATTACTCACATAAGTAAAGACTGGTCAGATACCTTGGCATTATCTCTTTCTCATCTTTTATGTCCACTGGGGTCATGGACTGCAAGGAACCTTCTAGCAGAGTTTAGGAGGAAAGTGTAAGAAACAGAGGAAGGCTGGATTGTCGATACTTACAGTCTTCAAAAGAGAAGTAATCTTCCCTTGACACTTTAATGTTAGAAAGTTAACAGTAGAGAACAAGGAAGTCAACTTAGCCCATTTAACCAATAATTCTCTTCAGCTTTTCTTTGACATAGTTCTTGAGCCTCTAGAGGCTATAGAGGACAGTGCCTAGAAACTGAAACTTAGAGAGATTTATTTTCACTTCTATTTACAGGTTTATCACCCTTTAACATGAGTGTTGTTATGTATTAATATGCATTCAGAGAGCGAATTAATTCATCTATGACTATTAAATTGTAGGGAAGGGAGTAAAGAAAAAGCCCAATCATTTGAAAATCTGGGCATCTGTTAAAGGCATAGAGCGTATTACACTACCAATTCAGTGGGAACTGAGAGTATTCAGCATATTGGAGACCTTAAACTTAGTGTTATTCAAAGAACCCAGTGACAAAATGAAATGAAGGGCACCAGAGGAAAACTCCTTGACCCTTCATAAAA